GGGGGGCCGTCCGCTACTTCTGGAGCTCACGGCATCTGTCTCTGTGTGTTCAATCTTCAGGGTCCAGGGATGGGGAGGGAACATCCTTGTTTTTAGTCCCAATTGTACCCTGACACCCTTGGCACCCTTTGACCCTGTATGCCACCACCACAGGGAACCTTTGCCATCAACCATACCCCACCACGTCTTTTCCCACCCCACACCTTGTAGTTGTGGGCACTGAGGTATTTGAAGTGTCCGAAGCAGACGTGGCAGAGACAGATGACGATGGTGATGACCAGAACGACGAAGGTGAACATAGACGTGGGAGCTAGGAATCCTGGGATTGGGGGCACAAAGAAAGGGGCTACCGCCTGGCCTGCCACCTGGGCCCTCTTCCAAGGGACCCACAACCACAGCCTCTGACTCGTTCACTCCCGTCCATACAAGGTCACTGAGACCCGCCACTCTCTACCATGTGGCCTTTATGTGGTGAGTCCTATCTTCAAAAGTCCCTTCTGTCTTTGCCACCTCCCTCTGTCCTTGTCAACCATCCCCTGCCACCACAATGGGATGCTGGCCCTCACCCGCGCGCATGGTAGAGAAGAAGAGTAGCCAGAAGAGGCAGAGGATGGGTGCGGCCACCACCTGGTTCACAGCCCCCGAGTGGATCTTCTTGTCCAGCTTGGCCGGCAGGTAGGCGTAGTAGAGATTGTACCTGTCCACCAGGTGCTTCAGCAGCATGTACATGAGCCCTGAGGAAAGCCAACGGCCCTGACCTCGGAACCAGCGCCCATGGGCCTTGTGTGACGGCCACGGGCTGTCCTGGCCTTGCGAGATGGCTGCGGGGCTGGTCTCTGCTCCTGTGCTGTCCCTGCCTGTCCTCCCTGCCCTGCCACTGTCCTGCCACAAACTGAAGCTGCGGCTTCTGCCGCTCCAGTCCCTTCATCCTGGGCAGCCTCCCCACCCTCCCCACATGGCAACCAGCAGAGAGCCCTTCGGTTAGATGAACAAGCAGCCTTTGAGACCCTCCTTATTCTTTCTACCCTAAACAGCTGAATATAAATAAGGGCCCGTTCTACTTCCTGAAGCCTGGGGCATTCAACAAGGGCTGGGAGGTTAATTTGAGACTCTGGAGCTTTCAGCAGCCACAGAGTGGGGAGGGAGTTAGGGTGTTACGGGGAAGGTAGAGGCTATTGGTGGGGTCATGGTCAATGAGAAACTCAGCTAGACACTTTCAAAGAGGAGGAGGGACCTGCCCAAGTTACAAGGCTTGCCTGCATCAGGACTTGCCCAGAGGTACAAGGATCTAGCCCACTCTGGAGTCGGAGGGGTGTTCTTGAATTTTGAGGTCTGTGTGTAAGTGTACATGTTGGTAATAGGACAGTCTATATGTGTGTAACAACTCCGAGGGAAGTATGTCTATGTATACCCAATGGAAGGCGTCAGTGCCTACCAGGAAACATGGCTGAGGTGGACGGCTTGACCCAGGAACTGGGTATGCCAGGTGGGCCAAGCCTCAGTAGAACTGCTCTCCCCTCTTCCCCAAGGCCTGGCCCCAGACTGAGCCAGGAACCAGGTGGGAGGCCGGAGGGGTTGGTCTCCCAGCCAGGGCCCTGTCCAATCGGGGTGGCCTGCCTTACTAGAGTGGAACGGGTGAGGCCCTGGGTTCCCCCGAGCAGGGCCCAGGTCCCGGCGCGGCGGTGCCTACCGAAGGGCACGATGATGGGGCAGGTGATACTGTAGGTCATGACCACCGTGAAGACGCACATCATCCAAGCGTAGGCTGCGCCAAACTGGAACTCGTAGGCCTGATGCTGGGGGGGACATGGGCAGGAGGATGGCTCAGAGTGGAGGGGACAGGCTATAGGGGGGCAAGGCAGGTAGGAGGCGGCCAGGAACTGTGGGGCTGGGAATGAAGCCATGGGGAGTGAGGGACCTAGTGTTGGGGTGGTGCAGGGGACAGCAAAGCAGGTGGGAGGCGGGGGGCTGTGGTTGAGAGGGAGGCCAGGCAGGGGCAGTGATGGGGCACGGGTAGGTAGGAGCAAAAGTTGAGGACTAGGGGACAAGCTATCCAGCGCCCTCTTGTGGAATGAGGGCAGAGGGGCCCTAGGCCAAGCGAGCTAGACCTCTCCCGACTCCAAACACATAACTCTATGCTCTCAGAACTCAGGGATGACCTGGGATCATCTATGCCCACCCATAGCTATATGTGTGGGGAAACTGAGGCTTCATTCATATGGGAATTAAAGTCCCTAAGTCCCGAATCCTTGTGCCCACCACCCGAGCCTGACTGCTGCTGTTTCTGGTTGGGCCACCAGAGGGCGCTGTGCACATTGCCGCTGCCCTAGGCGGCCATACCCGCTTCACGTTGCGTCTTTCTGCGGCGGAGCGCGCCAGGCAGAGCCGGATCATGTACATGAGTAGGCCTGGGATGCGCAGCAGGTCCATGGCGTTACCGATAAATGCTGAGGCAATGACGTAGTTCACGAAGAAAGCGCCGTTGTCCGGCAGGAACACACACCTGCAGGCAGCAGGTGCTCCAGCACTGCACCCTCGGGGTGACCTGGTGGCTGTCTGCCTACTGCCAGCACGACAGCACACCATGCCCTCACCCCCTCAGTTGCTGCTTCTACATGTACACCCACCCCATCCTAGAACCGTAAGACCTGTGCTCCAGTCTTTCCGCAGTGTGAACCCCAGAATGTCAAAACACCAAAGCAAGGCCAGATGTACCCTGAAAACCAGCCCAGAGACCTACCTAGGTGGTGTGCCCCATAAACATCCCAGGAGAGGACAGTTCAAGACCACGTAAGGCCACCAGCATGTGTGGTATATAACTGCTGAGACCACCACGAAAATCTCAATGGCACCCTCAGAGACCTTCAGGGATGCGAGCCCCAGAAAGCCCAGAAAGTTTTCCGATGCTGGTTTTCCCACAGTAGAGCCTCAGACTCCTTCACTAATCACCTTCAGAACCCTCCCTCAGATGTCTTTGGTGTGTGTGTGGGGGGTGACAAGAACCAGAAAGTCCCTAAGTCCAAGATGGTCACAGAAGACTCCAGCAAGTCCCTGGAGTTTGTGCCTATGAGAGCCACAGTATGCATCCCAGACAAGCATCCCTCGACAGATAAAGGGATGGGTTCTAGGGACCCTCATGTATGCTCTAGGGGCCCCCAGTTATGACCAAGTTCCTACTATAGATTCCTCCCCAACTTCCTTGATGAAATCCAAGACTCCTGCATCAGTCTTAAGAACCTGAGTGCCCTCAGAAGCCCCAAATGTGAGCTCGGAAAGGCTTAAATCCACTTTGAGCACTAGCTCAGCCATTTCAGGTGCATTCCCGAGCATGAACCCCAACACACTCCATCCAAGTACACACCCAGCACCCCATGGGTGCCTTCTTTCAGATAACCCAGTAGATTTGTGATGCTAATCCCACCCCTTATGGCTGGAAGCTTGGTGACTCCCTCCTACAAAGGCTAGAAGCGTCTCTCTCCCCAAGTGTTCTGGTCACTCACTCAAACCGAATAGCTGCCTCGGCCAGGAATTTCTTGTCAAAGAGCCAGCGGAAGAAGAGGTCTAGGCTGCCGGGAGGAGAGGAGAGAAGGATGGGAGCTGGAATGGCACAGAACACGGGATGGGGGGCAGAGGAGCCTCCGGGGAAGCTTCTCCCTGTAGCTCTCTCCTGTGATGCCCTCCAGCCCAGCTTCCCTTGGTCCTAGGACACTCACCTGCTCAGCCCCAGCGAGGGCAGGAGCAGCACCATGAAGATGAGGAAGGTGTAGCATTTGTGCATTGTGGTCCTGTTCTCCCCAGAGCTAGTAGGCAGGAGGCGGCAGAGCACACGCCAAGGTCAGGGCAGGCCGGCCCAGCCCATACTGGGACGATGTCCCAGTAGGCTCCCTTGGGTGGTGGGGCTTCCTTGGGCTGGCTGCCCAGAGACATGGTAGGTGGGGTGTGGGCAGCTCACCGTGTCCAGTGTGCTTCGAAGAAGGCAGAATAGTAGACGATGGTGGGGAGCAGAGCCGAGAAACACCACAGCAGCAGCGTAGGGAAGAACTGAGTGATGATGGGGTTCTGTGGGGAGACGGGGACAGGGGTGTCAGGCAGGGACACTTGGATGGCTGGGGTGAGGGTAGAGGCTAGGGTCGTGAGAGTGACTCCAGGGTGAATGGCGTTCACGGTGAACATCTGCTGAATATCTACTGCGTGCTGAGCACTTGTGCCTGCTCCACATATTAAACCACGTGACCACGAAACTGGCTCATTTTCCCAGTGAGCCAACCTAGGCTACAAGAGACTGGATGGCCTGGCCAGCTAGCAAGCAGTGGGGAGTGGGTTTGGACTGGGGCCTGCATGTCATCTCTCCAGCTTGAGGCCAGACAGACATGGGTGTAGTCTACACCCTTGTCTGTCTGAGCAGCCTTGAACTTCATGCTGATAAGCGGGTCTGAACGTACACATGAATCCCATTTTTCAGAGAGGAGAAAAGGGGCCTTACCCAAGGCCATGTGTCCTCCTGGGGGTTTCTCCAGGAGGTGTAAACCCAGGGGTGGCCTCCTGAGGGCAGGGTGTAGTGGAACCCAAGGGCAGGTATGGTGGGGAGGTGGGTAGCAGCCCTCGTGGCAGGGCTAGGGCAGGACAAGCGGAGCCAGAACTACACTCGGGATGAGGGGCGTTCTGCCCAGCACTGATGCTCACGGCACATCATGGAGGGCTGGGTGGGCATGGGCCTCACATTGAGGTATTCCACAGGCTTGGTGACGTTGAATTTGTCCATGGTGGTGATGATGATGGCCGGGGTGGTGAGGAAGAAGAGCAGGATGAAGAGGACCACATTGATAACCAGGCAGCGCAGCCACCAGATGAAGCCTCGGATGGAGAGGTGCTCCCTGGGAAGGCGCGGGGGGGGGGGTGTCATTTTGAGGACTCTGGACCGATTGGTCTCTGGCAACATCCACCCCCCGCCCATCCTCTTTCTGCTGGAAACAGACACTCAGTCTGTAAGAAGCCCCATTCCACGTGCTATGGCTCACCAGTAGATGTTCTGGGGGTCGGGGGCATAGGTCACGGTCCAGTTGGAGATATGCAGAGCCTCGCTGCAGGAAGAGGCACGCGGCTCCCCACGACAGGCACAGCCCTGGCATTTGCACACGTTGAAGTCCTTTAGGATGCTGGGGGGATGGATACTAGTTACTGCAGCCGAGATTGGGGGTCACAGTAGTGAGTACCGGGCCCTGTGGCAAACAGAGGGCCAGGGCAAAGGCAGTGTGGGCGGGGCAGGGCACGTGACGATGACAACAATGACTCACATGGCTGTGATGGTCTCATTGTGGAAGGTGACAAAAGCCATGCCAAGGGGCTTCTCGTTCACCTTCTTCTTCTCCCTCCTGTAGTCCTCCTTCAGCCTCTGCTCCAGCTTTGTGTAATACTCAATGGCCTCTACCTATAGAAGGAGGGCCAGGGGCTCAGTCAGAGCTGGGAGGCACCCACAGCAACAGCCAGTATCACCCCATGCTCCCGGAGGCTTTCTGGTATGTCTGGAGTCACTCTTTCCTTGCTCTAACCTTGCAAGGTGGGCACAATGAACCCAGTCTAAGGGGGAAACCAAGGAATGGGGTAATCAAGGAACTTGTTAAAAACAGTTTCGTTTCCCTCCTTCTCTCACATCACTCCCTTTGTTTTGGAAACTGCTATGCAGTCAAAATTGGCCTTAAAACCTGAGATCCTCCTGCCTCAGCATCCCAAGTGCTGGGATTGATTATAGGTATGGGCTATTTTACTAGTTTATCAGCTGACTACTATTTTTTTTTTTAGATTTATTATGTATACAGTCTTCTGCCTGCATGCCAGCAGAGGGCACCAGATCTCACTCAAGGTGGCTTGTGAGCCACCATGTGGTTGCTGGGAATTGAACTCAGGACCTCTGGAAGAACAGTCAGTGCTCTTAACCACTGAGCCATTTCTCTAGCCCTCAGCTGACTACTTTTAAAAAACAGGGGCTCATGTCTCCCAGGCTGGCCTCAAACTCTCTTCTGTAGCTGAGTGTGACCCTGAACTTCTGACACTCCTGCCTACACATCCTGAATGTTGGGATCACAGGCATATGACCTGTGTTTGCTAGGCCAGCACTGAAAGACATCCCCAGCCCCTTGCTATGCTTTTAAAAGTTACCACAAACAGGACAAACCCAACAGTGAGAACAGGGACTTCAAGGGCCAGCAAGATGGCTCAGTGAGTAAAAGGAGCTTGCCACAAAGCGAGGACCAGAGTTTGAGCTACAGAACCCATATGGTGTAGAGAACTGACTCTCACCAATTGTTCTCTGATTGCCACACATGCACCATGGTATACCCTCCCCAGGTAAGTAAATCAATATTTAAAGAAAGAATCAGGGATTTCATGAACTCCAGAGGGCGGTGGAGGCTTGTGTAGGGTAGGGCCCAGGCCCCCTTCCTCTGGGCATCTGTTTACCTTTGGGTCTTACTGTCCACCACATCTGCTTGTCCTGCAGTGGTGGGTTGGGTCTACCCGTGGGCATCCATGTATACTGAGACCTGTCCAGCTCTCCCCAGCCTTGCCAGGAACCCTGGGCACCTAGATAGCCCACACAGTACCTGCTCGCAGCCTCGAACCACACAGCAGCAGAGGTGGCCGCACGGTTTGGGGTTGATCATGGTAGGTACATTTTCCTTGCTCTGCAGGTTCGTGAAGTAGAGTTTTCCCCGCTCAGCCTTCTTCCTGTGGGACCCGGGGGCCAGTCACCTACTGCTTAGTATCTGGGGTGGCTGGGAGGTGGGGTGCGGAGCTGAACTTGGGATCACCAAGAAATTCAAAGGTATTTTTTGTTTGGTTTTGGTTTTTGGAAATAGAGTTTCTCTGTTTAGCCCTGACTATCCTGGAACTTGCTCTGTAGACCAGGCTAGCCTTGAACTCACAGACATCTGCCTGCCTCTGCCTCCAGAGTGCTGGGATTAAAGGCGTGAGCCACCAACGCCCGGCAAAATCCAAAGCTTTTTAAACTGTGGGCCCTGCATAAGTGAACTTGAGGGCTATGAAAAATCAGGCAGCAGTCAAAGGTTTCTGAAAACGCAACAACCACAGATGAATTTAAAACGAACACATGCTGTGTCTGAGGTGTCTCTGGCAGCACTCGCCTGTGTTGCAGCAGGTGACTCCACTGCAGCCTTGGTTCTGAACTCACAGCCTGCAGCTTGTGTGGCCTCTGCCGCCATGCCTGTGACTATTCTATCAAAACATTCTGGCCAGACTGTGTAAATGAGTTTTAGTGATTTCACTGTACTTACAAGGCTTTTTCCGCTCTTGTAAATAGTGATTTAATTACGGAAAAAAAAAGAGTTAATGTATCCCATGTTATCCCTCATATCTTTGTTACTGTGTCAGACACACCAGCACATCCTCCTTGGGAATGTGCTTTTATCTTGTGTGTGTGTGTATGGGGGTATATGCATGTGTGTACATGTATGGGTGTACACACAGAAATAAGATACTGACATTGGGTGTAATCCTCCATCGTATACAACCTAGTTTTTTGTTTGCTTTTTTTTGAGACAGAGTCTCTCTGTGATATAGCCTTGACTTGTCCTGGAACTCACTATATAGACCAAGCTGACCTTGAACTCAGAGTCATCTGCCTCCGTCTCCTGAGTGACTACCATGGTGCCAGGCTTGCAGCTTAGATTTTGAGGCAAGGGCTCTTACTGAATTTGGACAGGCTGGATGGCCAATGACTTTCAGGAATTTCATGTCTCTACCCTCACAGAACCAGTGCCTAGGGCTTGCCTTTTACATGAGTGGTGGTGATCCTGACACAGGTCTTACTCATGTATGACAAGTGTTTTACCCACTGACCCATCTTCCCAGCCCAGTCTTTTAATTAAATAATGAATAATAAGATTATATAAGGACCAAGCAATTCTTTTAGTGAGTGTGCAAATCCCACACAAACACACATACATGTGGAGGTTGGGAACAACTCAGGCGCCACGGTCACTCTGGCCATCCAGCTCCTTTGAGGCAGGGTCTCTTGTCTTTGCCTCACCAACACTGGGGTTACAAGTGTGTGTTGTGACACATGACATTTTTACATGTGTTCTAGGGATTCAACCTCTTGCAAGGCAAGTTCTTTGCCAACTGAGCTAGTTTTCCAGCCCCCCAAATTGTCTTAAAACAATTTTTCCTTCCCTTTTTTTTTCTTCAAAACAGGGTTTCTCTGTGCAGCCCTGGATGTCCTGGAACTCTCTCTGTGTAGACCAGGCTGGCCTCAGACTCAGAGATCCACCTGCCTCTGCCTCCCAAGTGCTGGGATAAAGGTGTGCACCACCACTACTAGCTAAAATAAATTTCATTATGACTTATTCTCAGTGAATGTCTAACTTGTATTCCTATTAATATCCCTACAAACATTTTCTCAGATGGAAAGGGTTTGGGAGTAGACAAAATTCAGGTCCCCAAGGGCAGGGGCTGTCCTGTTCTTGGGTTCGTTTAGCCCACATGGCTCAACAGTAGGCCCATCCAAGAACCTCCCTACCCATTTCTGGAGGGCCAATTCTATTAGTCTGCCATGAATTTCTCATGCTGTAGCTGAAGTGGGTGAATCCTTCTTGTAACACACTCTAAGCCCCAGGCCTGGGAAGTAACAAAGACTGCCAACGTTAAGTCATATTCAAACGCACAAGGAACACCTGAAAAGGGAGCCAGGTTCCCACAAGGTGGCTAAGATTCCCTCCATGATGAGCAGAGGGCCCTTGGTGTCACCCTCCCTGACCCCAACCCGGTACCTCTCAGCATCAAGGAACATAAGACGAGCCACGTTGTAACAGGGCCGGGCTTCCAGAACCGTGCAGTTGGGGTAGGCCTCCCTGCAACACAGTCCAGCTGTCATGCTACAGGTCCCTATCCACTGCCACCCTTGCTGTGATCCAGGGTGCTAGCACATCAACACAGCCCCAGCTTATCCCCATCTCAGTCAAGGGCAGAACTTTGAAAAAAAAAAAAAAAGTAAAGAAATCGTGGGGCAACGGTGGTGCCCACCTTTAATCTCAGCGCTCAGAAGGCAGAGGCAGGTGGATCTCTGAGTTTGAGGCCAGCCTGGTCTACAGAGGCAGTTTCAGGACAGCCTGGGCTACAGAGGAACCCGGTCTTGAAAAACAAACAAACAAAAGAACAGAACTTTGAAGTCCTTCCTCATGCTGTACAAGTAGGGATTGGGTTCAGGTATGCGTTCACTCACTGTGTGAAGGCAGCAGGTGACAACAACCCAGGATGTTTGAGGGCTACTACTGTGTAGGGAGATAACATAACCACGCCTCCTAAGGGCTGGCTACAGGTGTGCCCGACCACGCCTGTCAGGGTGTGGTCAAGGGTGACGTGTGAGAGGTTTAAAGGGATTGCCAAGGCACATGGTAGCTCTTTTTTCCTCGCTGCTTTGGCACGATGTCTTCCTATTGGTTGGCATCTACCTAAAGATATCCTGACCTTACGGGCTACACATTAGTTATTCACCATAATACTACTGTGTGGAGCTGTGATCTGATTCTTGCTCAGGGCTGTGAACTTGAGGTTCAGAGAAATTATTTCTAGTTACAGGCTGTTCTCTGAGCCTGTTCCCGGAAGACCTGGTCCTGGTCCAACACTTGGCCTTGACTTTGGATTTACGCCAACCAATCTTGGCCCAAGACCGACAAGAAACTGATCCTGAATTTGATCTCTAACCCTGGCCATGACCCAGGCCCAGGGCTGACCCCTCCCCCTAAGCCGAGATGAGATGATAGGGCTAGCTGCCCCAACTCACGGGCACGTGGGTCTGGAGAGCATTCACAAAATGCAGTGTCCCTCCCATTGACAGCAAACTGATCCTGTCCTTAATCTTGACTGTTTCCATCTTTTTGATGTCTTATTAAAATTAAATGAAGGGCCACCAAGTATTTGAGACATGTGTGATAAAGTTGCACAATAACAGGGTGAACTTCATAAACACATGAGACTTTAGAAACTCACATCTGGTTTGGGTCTTTGAAAATGAACTTGCCAGGTGGCCACAGATCTCTCCTTCATGGTTCTGAGCTGCTGTAGTCTTCCTCTTTGGGGGAGCAAGTGCTCACCCTTGCCAGACTAACCGCAAACCCTTTAAAACTAACTGCACAGGCTCGGTGATTCTGCACAAGGGATGCTGTCCACTTCTGGGGCAGTCCTCTCCTCTACAGTCCCTAGACCTGGACCATGAGCCTCAGGGAACACTTAGAAGTTCAGTGTGGACAAAGGTTGTCTCCTAAACATCATCGCATACAGAATTCCATCTAACAGCTTCCCCACAGGAAGTGCTCAACAAGGCAGGCTGAAAGCCCCAGAGTCCAATTCTCCTCACCCCTCCTTTGTGAGTGAGTGTGAGCTTTAACCACAGGCTGTTTCCTAAACAAAGAGACTGGCCCCTAAGCAGCACAGCCAGGATACATCAATCTAGTCTGGCTTTTGGCATCCCATAGCACATAGTAGGACAGCAGAGAGTCGGCCAGGATGGTAAACTCCTTCACTGTGCTTGGGTCTCTGCTCAAATGCCACTCCGTGAAGGTCACTTTCACAGCCCCCGCTTCCCCTGCTCAGGCTGGAACCTTAGTACCTCCACCACGTGACGGTATCTAGACTAATTCAGCTCCGCTGACTCCCAGGCCTAATGAAAGGGGAACTTCCAGTTTTGTTTATCGCTGCATACCGAGCTCTCACCCAGGGCAGGCCCATGGGTCACTAGTGGTTTGCATCAGGACGTATCAACGCAAGCTAACAATTGTCCAACTAACTGGACAAATGTCACTTGATACTGAGCACACATTAGCTCCTATGCTGATAAAAGGTTGAACCCCAAATAATTCTCTCACTCTGTTTTGTAAGCTTTAGGAAGGCAGAGCTTGCTTCCACTATCTCCATGCCTGCACACAGATGTTCAATATACAGATGTCACATGCATCAGTGTCTAGCTCTGGATCCCTGTGCACAGGCTCTGGAATGTGACCTGACCAGATACTGCCTCTGATTCTGCTCAGATAGCACTGCTAATGGGATGACATACTGACCGTCTCCAGGACAATGACTGAACTTTGATTTAGACCAATGACAACAGACCTGGACCTCAAGAATAAACCTGGAGGACACTGGTGCTCTTCCCGGGGACCAGAATACATCTCAAGCACCCACACAGCTACTCAAAACCATCTTTAACTCTAGTCCTAGGGACTCTGTTTCCTTCTCTGGCCTCCATGGGCACTGTGCCCACGTGGTACACAGACATATATAGCCAAAACACCTATACACATAAAATAAAAACAAGTAAAATTTAAAAAGAGAAAAGAAAGAATAAGCCCTGATTCTGCCTGAAGCCTGAGCTAGAACCCTGACCAGTTACATACCTTGTCAGGGTCACTTGCCAGGTCCTGTCCCTTGTCACAGCCACTGGGCAGCTCCTAATCTGGCTCATGGACTGACTTGTCCCTTGTCCCAGTCACTGACTGGGTGGCTCCTAATCTGGGTCACAGACGGACTTGTCCCTTGTCATGGCTGGCTCCTAATTTGGGTTGACTTGGATCAAACTCAGTTCACACCTACAGCTGATCTCCATGGTGTGACTAAACTCAGTTCACACCCTTGACTAACTACTACAGCTGATCTCCATAGTGTGACTAAACTCAGTTCACACCCTTGACTAACTTCTACAGCTGATCTCCATGGTGTGACTAAACTCAGTTCACACCCTTGACTAACTTCTACAGCTGACCTCCATGGTGTGACTCTTGAGCTGGATGACTTTTCACTCATCCTCTGCTATGGTAACTGATGAAAGTTTGGCAAAATAATTAATAAAAGTGTGACATTAACTCTAATGCTACATGAAGACTGTCTGTCCCTCTATATCCCTACATCTGGGATCTTAACTCTTTTTTGTTTGTTTTTTTGAGACAGACTTTCTCCGTGTAGCTTTGCCTGTCCTGGAACTCTCTTGTAGACCAGGCTGGCCTTGAACTCATGGAGATTCCCCCTGCCTCTGCCTCCCAAGTGCAGGGATTAAAAGTGTGTGCCACCAAGACTGGAAACCCCTGACTCTCTACACCGTGGGCTCAGCACCAAGGTGCCTGTCCAGGTGTCTGAACTGAAGAGCCAGAGAAGCTGAGGGAACATAAGCCAAACTCCTTAGACTTCTTCCGAAGCCACCACAACCACGAGCTTTCCCGCAATGTCTGAATATGCACCAGGTAAATGGTGCTAACAATTTTGAGGAAGCCACCACCTCAGGACCCTGGGCCAACCACCTATGACCCAGTCCAAGCCAGGAGGTGGGGGTGGAGGAAACAAATGTCACAGGCTACACTCTTCAGTTCCATCCTGTTTCTCTCAAAGGGCTGGAAATCAAACCCAAGGTCATGGATGACCCCGAGTGACCCCTCAGCCCTGTCCAGTTCTGAAGGGGCTGTTGTCGTTCAGGAAAGTGGGAGACCAGCCCCAGCTCGGGATGTGAGGTCTCCCCCGCTCTGTTCCACTCAGCCTGGGCTGCAGACTGCTGGAGAGTCCAAGGGTGTAAAGATGCTCTTGGGGCTAATGGGTGGGCAAGGGCCTACATGTCTGAGGGGAGATGGGCTGCTTACTCACTCAAAATGCTTCTTGATTTTTTCTGACTCTGCATATTTGGAGATTCCATTGATGAAGAGAGTCCGCTTGACCTGTGGAGGAGGACAGCAGGCCTGTCTCCCTGCAGGTGGCCTCCAGGAGAGCCACAGGACGCAGGGAGGGGGTTTGGGTTTGGTGGGAATCTGTCAGGTCTCAGTGGAGTATGTGTAATAGAAGCCTGATGGAGGAGCCATGAGGTGCCTTGTTCTGTTACAGGGGGTTACAGGTGTTATCAGGTGGATGGACACTTACATCCCTGAGGAACCAGCACAGTGGCTAGCAAAGAACAAACACACGGTCCAGGCTGGGTAAGTAGCTGCAGAAGGTGAAGGAATATTCCCACCACCCATATCAAGCAAGACGACAGTACAACTATCTGACAGCACTATCAGCCATGGTATTTCCCAAGGGTCAGGCTCAGCATGGGACGGCCTAGGCATTGCCTTCAGAGGGCCCCTGGAGGGAGGCCCTTACTCCATGTGGAGGAGGGACCCCAGGCAGCCGAGGCGGGCTGCCCTTCCTCACCAGCATGGGGCGGCCTAGGCATTGCCTTCCGAGGGCCCCTGGAGGGAGGCCCTTACTCCATGTGGAGGAGGGACCCCGGCAGCCGAGGCGGGCTGCCCTTACTCACCAGGTCATCTTCCTTGTAGCGCATCTTAGAGGTGTGTCTCCGCATGCTGTAGACTGTGAGCAGCAGGTACAGGAAAGCAAAGGAGGTGTGCAGCCAGAGGAGATTATTCCTGGGGGGGGGCGGTCACACGGGGTCAGCAGGGTCCACCTCTGCCGTGTCCACCCATCTCTGAAGCCTCCCACCTCTCACTTCCGCCCTAGACCCCACCCACTGCAGAGCTACTTCCCTGGCCTCACCCTGATTTCAAGTTGGCAATGGTGGTTCTCCCGAAGCTGTAGGCATTGTTCTCTGGAAGGTGGGAAGGAGAAGGGGATGGCGGTAGGTCAGCCAGACGCCCTCTGTCCCCTTCCACTCCAGCCACCTGGCCCTCACTGACCTAGCAGGTCCCCTGAGAAGTTGACAGGCAACACGATGCCTACAGAGAGGACGCTCACGACAACCAGCAGCCCGATGATGTGCCTCTGGAAGGACAGGTAGTGCACCGCGTCGCCGCCACACTTGTCCCGGATCTCATCGTCCCTGTAGGCCACGGGAGGCACACAGAAGATGCCGTGAGGAGCAGCAAGGGAAGGCTGGAACCTGCTCACCCCCTCCCGCTCCACCCTGGCCACCCCTGCTGATGGGGCAGCAATGGGGTTGAGGTGAACTTCTCATCCCGATTTCCTGGAAGGGAAGGAAGGAGAGGAGGAGGAATGCACAGAGCCTGGAAGTGGCTAGGAAAGGTGAAGCAAGAGAGGGAGAAAGCAAGGCTAGGAATGGAGAGGCAAAGACAAGAAGAGGGAGGGGGGGAGGAGGGCAAGGAGGGATGGAAAGGGAGGGAGGCTGGGAAGTGGGCAGCAGCAGCTCCTTCTAGGGCCTTAAGGGTACCAGAGCTGAGCTCCTATGGCCAAGGGCCACACTAGGGGAGGGGTCCAGAGCATGGTGAGGGCCCCAGTGCTGACCTGTCCCAGTTTCCTGCCTTTCTCACTGCTCACTGCCTGCCTGTGGACTCTGGCTGGATGTCCTGAGTTCTGCCTGCTTGCTGGCTGCTGGCTCCTGCCTGCGTGGCTGGCTGGCTGCTTCCAGCCTGCCTGCTGCCCCCACCCGCTGGCTGCAGAGAAGTTGAGATGGGGGCTCCAGCCCCTGCTCTCAACCTGTGGCCAGGGCTGGTAGATCAGGGCATGGCTGACCTCGTGCAGAGTGTCACAGAGGAGATGGTGGGTCAGAATAAGCATTTGAGGGTCAGCCCAGGCTGGGTCCCCATTGCCTGGCCTCTTGGAGTGGGGTGCAGGGTACTGCGATGGCTAGGAGCACTAAGGCCTCAAAGCTGCTGGCTTTGGATTTGGAAGGAGATGACAGATTCTGAGGTTTCTTTCTGTTTCTCTTTAGAGTGTGCAGACCATTCACTTACTTTATCCTGAAGATGGCTGTCAGCCAGGAACAGAAGCCCTGGGGGAACAGAGGGAACACACTGGAGATCCCAGCCTATCAACCCACTTGCCTTCCCTTAAGCTCCACCCAGGGTACAGCTCCTACACCCACCCCTGCACCTGAAGAAAAACCCATCCACATAGGACATAAGTTGGTATAGTCTGCCTGGTATGAGTGAGGCCCTGGTTCCTATCTCTAGTACTGCAAAAAGGAAATATTTAAGTGGGGGTGAGGGAGACAGATCAGTCAGTAAAGTGCTCGCCGTGCAAGCACAAGGATCTGGGTTCAATCCCTGGACCCGCAGGGTGTGGTGGTACACACTCCCAGCACTGGGGAGGCACAGACAGGTTCATTGGCCAGACAGGTTGGCCTAATAGGGAGCCCTAGGTCCCAAGTTAGAGACCATATCTCAGAAAAAAACAGGTGGGCCTGGGAAGATAGCTTCTCTGGAACCTCACAAGGTAGAAGGAGAGAACTGACTTCTTCAAGCTGTGTTCTGACCTCCATACACATAGCTTAGTATGTGTATGTGTGTGTACATGTGTGTGTGCATGGTGGATAAGTAAATGCAAGTGCCCCCCCCCCAAAAAAAAAGAAAAAATAAACCAAGGTTGACAGTACCCAAGGAACAATGGTCAAGATTGACTGTTAGCTTCCCCATGTACCTGTACAGATGTGCAAACACACCTGTGCACTCATGAACACCACACACACACACACACACACACACACACACACACACACACACACCAAAAACCCCACAAAGAGCTAGGAAGATCTGCCTTAAGAAAGAAAGGCCCAATAGCTTACTGTTGGACCCCAGGTCCGGAAGTGTAAATAACTGCAAACCTTAGAGTTCTGTGGGCCAGAATGGGACTGCGTATACTTTGGGGTTCAAGAAAGGTAGTGGGATCCCCTGATCTTTAGTTACTAAGAAGAGTTTGCAGGCTGGCAAAATGACTCAGAAGGTAAAGAAGCTTGCTGCCAAACCTGATGACCTGAGTTCAATCCTAAGGACCTACATGGTCGAAGGGGAGAGCCAATTTCCAGAAGCTGTCCTCTGACCTCCATATATACAATGTACATAGTGGTAAAAACACCCATAAACTTATACAAATGAATTATACAAATGAATTAATTTGTATAATAAATTAGTTGTACAAATTAATTATGTAATTAATTAAACTAAAAAATGTAGGGCTGACAAGATGGTTTGCTGAACAAAGGTAAAAGCATTTGCTGTCAAGGTTGATGACCAGATCCAATATGGTAGAGGACATAAGTTGTCCTTTGATCTCACACATGCCACGCCACCCTCCCCCACTTCTCCTGCCCTCACATATACACATAATGTAAAAATATCTCTATAAACAAACAAACAAACATGGCCACCAAAAGCAGAGGGGTGTGCCACGCTGCCTGAGCTCTTGCCTCCATCTCCTAGTCTACCTTGAAGGGATCAAAATCCAGGGCTAGCAAGACTGCATTATCTCCCTTTCTTTCAGTCCTGCCTTCCGGTAGAGAGTGGACAAACAGAAGGAGAGCCACCGCCCCTTCTACCAAGAGAAGGTCCATATCTAGTACAGGATGGGGAGAGTGTGCCTTCCGGCCAACATGCAGTTCTGGTTATCTGAGCTCCATTCAATTCTGAGGGCTATCTGGACACCTCTGGCTAGCAGGGGTGATCCCAGTAGCTTGCCACTTACCCTGTGAGTCTCTGGAAGCTGACATCTCTGCTAAGGCTGCTGTAAGAGCCCCAGCCCAAGCAAATGACCAGGCCCATTCTAGAGATTCTGCCATCAAAATCACAAGAGGACCAGGCAGGGAACAGCTGTGCACCTGATCTGGTGCGAAGGAGGTCTAGGGACTGGTGCGACCTGTCAGGTCTGAAGGCACTGCTCAGTCAGCACCAACACCCAGCAAGACAGTTGGTCCCTCTGGCCAGGGCCACCAGCCTACAGCTGCTGTGTAACATGATGGGCTCAAGGCTCAGCAGGGGTTCTAAAACCACATTCAAAGAAACACTTGTTTTAATCAATAGTAGAGGCAGGCATCAAATTCTACTGTGGCGAACAAAGTTCAGAACTGACAAATGTTGGGCTGGAGAGATGGCTCAGAGGTTAAGAGAACCAGCTGTTCTTCCAGAGGTCCTGAGTTCAATTCCCAGCACCCACATGGTGGCTCCTAACCATTGAGACCCTCTTCTGGTGTGCAGATATACATGGAAGCAGAATGTTGTATACATAACAAATAAAATCATAAAAAAGAAGAATAAAAAAAAAACTGACAAATGTCAGGGGCACCACTCAGAGGACCTCATCCTGTATCACAGGAGCTCTGGGCCTGCTGTGGTCCTCCGAATAATTCTTTTGTTTTGTCTTGTTTTTTGTTTTTCGAGACAGGGTTTCTCTGTGTAGCTTTGGAGCCTATCCTGGCACTCCCTCTGGAGACCAGGCTGGCCTCGAACTCACAGAGATCCGCCTGCCTCTGCCTCCCGAGTGCAGGGATTAAAGGTGTGCGCCACCAACACCCGTTGGTCCTCTGAATATTAACATGTCACTTCCACTACTGAGAAAAGGTCATACTGGAGTCCCTGAACTTACAGCAGTGCACTCAGGGAAATTGGGAGGAGGACACTCACGTTGTCCCTTTGGTCAAAGTCGACGGAGCTGGAGACGGAGGTGAGACGCTCATACCGGTCATGACTGTCCCCATGCATAGCTGATGCCACACTGGGGTGGGGAGACAGAGCAGAGGAAGGTGAGGGGGAGCATGAGGGCAGATGTGAGCACCCAAAGGAGCTAAGGAAGGTAAAGAAAGTGCAGAGGCTGAAGCAAGAGTGACCTCCCCCTACCCTGCCTCCCTCAGGGGTCACTGGTGGATGGACAGAGAGTGGGCCTATGGGAAAAGGTGTCTTCATTATTGGCCAGAATGCAGGTTGAAGTAAGAAATGTTAGAGGTCCCTGCAGTTCCAGAGGTGACCAGCAGGGGGAGTAGGAGGTTGGCAACACAGCCGGCATTACCCCACAAGCAAAGGGGAGGTGAAGGAAAGCAGGGACCAGAAGGACCCAAAGGGGTGGGAGACTGGAAGATGTCTCTTGGGCAGGGCTCAACCCTCCCTTTCCCTGAGCCATCAGCTGCCACAGCTCCAATTCAGTCCTATGGACAGAGACCACAAGGAGACATAAAGACTACAATGGGGGCTCCTTGGGCAGGGCCCATCCTAGGCCTCCAGAGGATCAGGGAACCCTGGAATATGAAGAACTAGCTGTTAGGGGCTGGGAACTGTTGGTGGCACCCATTCTTGTCTCTGCATGATTGTGCTGGGGATCTCCTGGGGAGTTCCCAGAGGACGGTCCCTCGCCCGGGCCAGTGAAGGCTAAGAATGCAGGGGTACACATAGAGGGGGTTTTCTTAGGCGGGGAGCCTAAGAGGAGGAACCAAACCAGGAAGGGCAGAGACAAGCTGAGGAGGCCCCTGTTCTGCAAAGCACACCACCTGCGTTAATCTGAAACATGAGCCTGCAGAGGAGAAAGCTGCAAAAAAACAAGAACCAGCAACTGGCGGAGAGAAGAGAAGCATGGAAAGAAAGAGAAAAAGGAAAGCTGGTTTAGTGTGGATGAGGGGGCTGGCGCCCCACATACTATTCCTGTTCCACTCGTTCCCGCTCCTGCCGGCGAAGCCTGGGGACAGAGAACAGACAGGTTAGCAGGGGCAGAGGAGAGTCCTGGGGACAGATGAGGGACAGAGGCCCAATTAAAGGTCCTCAGACCATTAAATGGTGGCCCAGGAACTAGTCCCTTCCTATCCCCTGACAGAGGGGACGAGAGAAGGCTGGCTCTTCCCTACTCCCAAGCAACATGGAACATGACGTTTGTGTGCAGTGGAGGGGAAGTCCCAGGCTTTCTTACCTGTCTGCATCTGTCACCAAGGCCAGCCGCCCATAGTCCCAGGCCACCTTCCGGAGGATAGAGAATAAGAACAACAGGGCCTGAGGGCAGAGGGGAGGCAAGTGAACAGCTGTCTACAGTCAGGGGTCAGAACCTTAACTTAAAGGGAGGTCCCTGGCTTGGGTGAATGCACAGAAGTTGGACAGTGGGAACCCCCTTTTCCTGGTTACGTATGGGAAGATGGGACATAGATGAAAGATGTTTGCAGGGGATGTCCAGGACCCAGGTGGCAAGGGTGAGGAGGGTATGAGGACACTCACAAGGAAGCACATGAAATCCAGAGCCAGCACGGTGGGGACGCCCCCAAAGGGCAAGCCCTGTAGGACAGTGCTTCGGATACGGGCACTGTAGCAGTAGTCCTTGGAGTTGCTGCTGTTGAGGGCCGCGGTGCCCAGCGTGGCCAACAAGAAAGGCAGCATGGCTGCTACTGCCGCATGGTCCTCCTGAGCAGAGGACAAATCAGTCAGCTGGGTTCATCCCCCACCCACCCTGGCCTTGCAAGATGGGCACAGAGAGGGTTGACCCAATGGCTCAGTGGGTGGAGGGCCTAGGAAGGGAGCTGTGTATCACATAGATTTATTTCATGGCCTTCTGGCTATCACCCCACCCTGGTCTAGGCAGCACACCTGATCCTAATGAAGGCAGGGACGACTGGTTTCACGGCACATGCAGAAGTATCTGTGAGCTCAATGTCTACCTCCACCTACCCCCACTGATAGAGCATCTCTCCTAGGCAGGAGAAAGGAAAAGGGGTGGGGACTGGAGATGGTTCAGTGGTTAAGAGCTTTGCTACTCTTCCAGAGGTGGGTGCTGGGTTCAGTTCCCGGTACCACATGGAGGCTCAAAACCATCTTAACATTAGTTCTAGGGGATAAGATGCCCTCTTCTGACCTCTGCAGGCACCAGGGGTGTATGTGGTGCACACACACGCACACACCACTCATACATATAAAGCAAAAAAATAAAAAAGATTTAAAGATGGGCAGAGGCCTGTCTCTGTGCCAGAGAGTAAGAGTCTAGAGTCAACTGCTTCATTCTAATCTTCTCAGAACCTCTAAGTTCAATCTTTAAAAGGACCACAATAAATAAATGAAGAATTAAAAGAAAAAAGGACTTCTCAGCCTTTTGGCTAAGATCAAGTGAAAAGAAAAACAGAATGTTCAAATGTGCTTAGTTTTTAATTCTGTTAACCTCCTCCATATAACCACCTTCAAAACAGATGTTCAGCCTCAGAGCTGCTCCTGTGTCCTCAGGGCAGAGCACTGGGCTGAAGGCAGGTAAAGCGCCAGACTTGAGAGTCTGTGACACCTGCTCTTCTCCAGGCCTGCTTCCCTCCCCTCCCTCCAACTAGCTGTACAGGGGGAAACGGGGTTGTGAGGACTACAACTCCCAGAATGCTGTGCTCCTGCCTTCAGAGCAGGGCAAGCTGGGAATGCTGTGCCCTCCAGCCAGCTTTTCCATTGGCAAAAGAGGGGAAGAGTGGGCGGAGGCCTCTAAAAGCCCCCAGCAACCACTGTCTTGCCTGGTGCCTACCTGGTGCCCTGCCACAGTTCTTTGTGCTCTAAGTGGATGAGGAGCAGGAGGGGAGAGAAGGGGAAGCCAATTGGAGCCCTGGGCTCTGGAAATGCTTGGGGACAAAGCTGAGCAGGGCCCTGGGGAGGTTCCCAGGCTGGAGAAGTGTGGCTGCAGCTGAGGCAGCTACCACAGCAGCACAGCCCCACCCGGTTCTACTCAGGGGCCCCGAGGGGCCCCTTCTGCTGACAACATGGAAGCCTGCCCCGAGGAGGGTCCCGAGGGAAGAAAGGCAACCAGGCAAAGAGAGAGAATAACAAATCTAGAAGAGGTGACTGGCAACTTGGAAGGAGCTGTTCCTTAGCCCCCCCGAGGTGACCTAGCCACTCTGGGGTCTCCCCTTTCCCATTCAAACATCCAACCACACAGGGCAGGAGCCAGAAGCTCTCAAGGATGAGAACATGTGCAGTGCTATGTGCTTCTCTTGGTCCAAGGGAATCTTTGCAAAGCCTGGGTCAGGATGGAGCAGGGAATAGCTGCCCTGCATGTGTTATACCGGCTCCTTTTCTGGTCTAACCTGACTTTTAAAACACACAAGTTTAATCATTGTAGCAAGTACTAGTGTCCACTGTTTCAAGAGTAACAATATATGGGGCTCCAGAGATGGCTCAGTGGATGAGAGCGCTGGCTGCTCTTGCAGACAAGGATTCAATACCCACATGGCTGCTAACAACTGTCTGTAACTCCAGTTCCTGGAGATCTGACACCCTCTTCTGGCCTCTGCTGGTACTGCACCCACATGGTAAACAGACATGCAGACAAGCAGCCCACGCATAAATAATAAATCTTTTTAAAAACAAAAGAATAATAGCATACATGACTACTTTTAATCCTCAAACATCCTGTGAGATGTATCACTGTCATTTGAAGTTGTGAGTAGAGGACTCAGAAAAGCTCAGTACTTTCCCACTAGGTCTCACTGCAAATAAAATGATGGAAGATCAAAATTCAAACCTAAGTCAATTTCTACCCAAAGCTGGGCCCTTCTCGGAACACACGGGTTCTCTGACGATAGGCCTAGGGCAGGTGAAGGTAGACCTGGGTCTCACTCTTCTAATCTGTAACAAAGCAGTATCAGCAAGGCTCTCACAGAAAGGTAAAAATGTATCCAATGGTTGGGGGGATGGGCGGGGCGGGGGCAGCACTCTCCAGCTGTTAACCAAGGTTTCTATGTAGCCTAGGCTGATCTCCAACTTAAGATCCTCTGCATATATGGATGCTTCATAAATACAATGTTAATTATTTGTTCTTGGGCCAGATAATACAAGGGCAGTCAAGGTATATATGTTCAGATGTGTAAATGTGCTCATACATGTGTCTGTTTGCATAGGGAGCTATGTGACTGACTATATGACAGTGTGCAGAAGTAAAGGGACTCATGGCCTCTGAGCGGAAGAGTATATGTGGGTCCACTGGGAGCCTGGGTGTGCAAATATAAGATGCACAGATGCTGAGGCAACAGGACAGGCTAAAGGTGGATATAAGTATTTTGGGGAGGGAGGCGCCGATCAGCGCCCCCTTCTTTGAGATAGGTCTCATATATTCTAGACTGGTTTCAGTCTTGTTATGAAGCTGATGGTCTTAAATTCCTGATCCTCTATGACAGACTTGGAAGATCCCTCAAGGAAGGCCTCACCCTCCCTGGGGAGCAGAAAGGGGATGGGAGATTGGTGGGGGACAGGGGAGGTGGGGAGGTGAGGAGGGAGAGGGAACTGAGATTGACATGTAAAAGAAGCTTGTTTTCTTTTCCTTTTTTTTTTTTTTTTTTTTTTTTGGTTTTTTAAACAAGGGTTTTTTTTTTTGTTTTTTCAAGACAGGGTTTCTCTGTGTAGCTTTGGAGCCTATCCTGGCACTCGCTCTGGAGACCAGGCTGGCCTTGAACTCACAGAGATCCACCTGCCTCTGCCTCCTGAGTGCTGGGATTAAGGGCGAGTGCCACCAATGCCCGGCAAGAAGCTTGTTTCTAATTTAAATAATTTAAAAAATTTCCTGATTCTCCTGCCTCTACTTCCCAAGTGCTTGGAATCACACCTAGGGCTTCATTCATGCTAAGCAACTACTCTACCAACCACATACTTCATGCCCAGTCCTGACCTCTCTGAACTCCAGGAAGGGCGCCTATCCTCACCCCTTGTTTCTAAACTGTTCAAAGTGCCATTCTTCTCTTCTATACTCTGAACAAAGATGGGACATTCTGGAAGCTTCTACATGATGTGGCTCCGTTAGGGTGGTCGAGAGTTCCTCGGGATGCTTGGTAACTGAAGTTACCAGATCTTTTCATTGCCAACCTTTTTTACTGTCGCAGAGCACCTCTGCTTCCCAACTACTTCCCAACTACACAGACACCCTCCCCACCACCACCAAAGGCAAGCAGGGCACACCCAGATCACCCATCCATAGGGAGGAAATAGGGACCCATCCACAGGGAATGGAGCCAGGCAAGGTCACAGGGTAGGTAAGGGGGTGGAGTTGGGCTGGTGGCTTTGCCAGTTGACAGGGTGACTTCCAGCTCTTAACTGTAGGGGTGGGGCTGTTGGGCTGTGTCATCCAGAGCAACTGCTTTCAAATCCAGCCGAGGGCTGGGAAGCTGAGAATACTACTTGGGGACAGTAGTAGGAGTCAAAGCCTCTCCCAATTCAGATGTGGCCAGCCAGCTGTGAGCCCATTTCTCTAGTTGGATACTGAAGCTGGTTTTGTAGCAGGGGATTTTAGACTAAGTCAAGACTGTCATTTCACTAATAAAAACTGTATGTCACAAGGTAGAAGTTACTTTTTTGTTTTGTTTGTTTTTCCTCATAGATTTTCTGGGAAAGACTTAATTTAGGGCTTGGGAGTCTTCTACAGTTACCAAGAAGAAATTAACTCTTAATATGAAATGTAGGGCTCACTCTTCCAGTCTGTAACGTAGTATTAATGGCTTTGGCTGGCCTGAGTGGAACTCGGACAGGCAAAAGTGTATCTATTCATAGGTGAGCCACCCCACTCCCCATCTCTCTCCAGAGTCTAGCTATATAGTTTAGGCTTTGCTCCAAGTCAAGATCTTCCTGAAAGCTGGGTATACAAGCTACCATGGTGGCTTATTTTATTTTTATTTTGTGCAAGGCATTACCACTCTAAGCACTTTGTAATGTTACTATTTGCAACTCCAACAGGCCACTGAGGCACACAGACAGCAAATAACTTGGGGAAGTCACACAGCCAGTCTGTGATAGATTCAGAGATGGGCCCAGGCATTTTGCTGCTCCTGCAAATAGAGGAGGCCACTAGCAGGGCTCTGAGGCTGAGGGTTGTTAGCACTAGCTCTGGAATGCCACACCCTAGATCTACAGGCTTGCCTTTCTTCTTGCTTGTAGTTCCTGATCCTTGACTCAGGAGTTTGTGGGTTCAAGTTCTGAGGCAGGGGTAGAGGACAAGGGTTCTAGGATGGAATGCACTTGGCTTCTATTCTGGAAAAAGTGCTTAACCAGCTCGGGTCTCAGGTCCTTCACCTGTAAAATGGGGACAACAACTCAGCCCTGTGGCTGCTTGGAAGATGAAATAAGATTAAAAACAAAACAAAAGAGTTCAAATCTCTTAAAATGACAACAACAACAACAACAACAACTCAAACTCAACCAAACTAAAGAAATCACCACAAGAAAAGACCAGCTGTTGAAAAGACCACATTGGTGTACACCTGGGAGGTGGAGGCAGGAAGATTCAAGGCCAACCTGGGCTAAATGACATCCCATCTCAAACAAAACAAAAAACAGCTCTTATTAATAGGATATAGACTCCAGGAGGTTGCTTTTAATGGAGGAAGGCTGGTTAAGACCAAAATAAAACATTAATTTAATGATAGGAATAGAATAGAACTAGTCAGTGTGTGTGTGTGTGGGGGTGTGCTTCCTCTAGGTTAGGGACTCTGTCACCAAGTCCCAGAATGTACCCCGTCCACCTGCTTTAGGCAAGGTGGGGCATCAAAGGTATCTGGTAGGTCAGGAAATTCAGAGAAGTGAACCCATTACTATTGATCAACTCTCAGGCAGGGTGCCAGGCTCTTTACCTGCATTACACTATTGGATCCCAAAGATACACCTCGGAAGGAGGTGGTAGTAACTAATCACACTTTTAAATAGAAACAGAGGTTAAGATGGTTAAGTAATTTGTCAAGGTCACACGGCTCAAGAACAGCAGAGCTGGGATTTGAACCCAGGTTTCTGTTACTCTGTTGTACTTGAAAGGAACTTGTATGATGTCCAGAAAGGGGTTCTTAGCTACTTATCACCCATCTTCTGCCTCAAAACATCCCCACCCACCTACTCACTCACTCACTCATTGGCCAAGACTGCACTGGATGAACTAACAGCAGGTCCCAGCATGCGCTACCCGGGGCATGCCAGGGCGTAGACACTCTGGTACTCCGGGGGACAGAGGTGCTGCCAGCATACCCCCAACCTGAGCCTGGCAGCCACTCCCCTTCCCCTCCTCTCACGAATCTGGAAGGCCGAGGGCTGTGGGCCCCTCTTCAGGAGCTGTTGGGCACAGTGTCATTCACCCGGGACTACTGCAGGGTCAGGGAATGGGGCTAGGTAGGAAGCAGACCCAACTCCTCCTGGGCAATGGGCCGCCAGACCTCTGACCAGGGGACCAAGGCTGGTGGCAGCACAAAGCCCCAAGGGCGGCCAGCCCCTCTGACCTCTCTTCCCCACTTTTCAGGCGTCCTTATTTTTTTCCTGGGTAACATAACGACAAGCTTTGGGACAGTCCGCACCAGGCGGTCAAGACAGCCGGCAGGGACAAAGCGCGCCCCCTCCCCCTCAACAGGGCCTTTGCCTACTCCGGATTCGCGTCTGAATCCTCTCCCCACCGCACCCTCCAACGCAGGCCCGGCGGCTCATGAATGAACTGCTCTGTGTGGGGCGCAGGAGAGGACATGCTCCCGGGGCCAGCCGCCCTCTTCAGCCGGCAGACCACACCCTCGAGCCCTGCCCTTTGCCCAAGCCTGGACCCCCTTTCCGCGGCCAGCTGCGTCCCCGAGGGCATTGGACTTGGCGACCCCAGAATGCAAAACTCGGGGGCGGAGGCGGGTGGTTCCCTTCAGCGCCAGCGGCTGGGGAGCAGCTGGGACCCGGGGAGGGCGGCGCAGGGGCCGCGCGCGCACCTGGACGGGGCAGGTGGGAATACAGTAGCAC